TCTTTTATTTTTCTATTTTGTGTTCCTAAATTTTCCAAGCACCGCAGGATTTTTCAAACGACTCTAAATACAGGATGTAAATACAAATACAAAATTTAAATTTGTAATGTAAATACATTCCGCTATCACATGTGACATTCACTTTATGCGGATTATGCGTTCAAAAAAATGCATCGCAGATGCAATGAATTTTCTTACAGCCTGTAAAGATGTGTATATATCGATCACATTATAGGTTTAAATCTCATGATATATATTACATATATGTCAAAGGAAATATGTTTATATAACATTCTTTTAATTCCTATATTGAAATATATTTAAAAAAGCAATATTCCGAGCTATCAGTCCTGCTGTAGCCTGATCATAGAATCTCGCTACAATTAGCTTGATTAATTTTATTTAATTTCGATTCGCGAAATCTGGCATTTCTTAGAGATGTAATTAACGCGTGAGACGCGTGATATATCGTTCTCGCAACAATTTACACAGTAACGTGAGAATACGGAGCTAAATACGGTAGCATTTGTAACGCATGACAAACACTCGGAAACACCTCGCAGGGTTGTATTTATGTATATTACGCAGGTCGTTCAAATTCACTCGTGCGTCAGAAAATATTTTGCAGCGTAAATCTAATGTCGTAGGCCTACGGTATTATTATTATTACTATTATTATAGTTTCACATCAAGAATTTCAATTTTGTTACGTATTCATTCTGAAAAATAAATGTTCATTAATAACACTCTTTTTTGTATAAATATCATTTTGTTATATATTAAAGCAAAGCAAGTTAAGTATCAGTAATCAGATCATAATCGCTCTTTCTCTCTCACACTCTCTCTCTACCGATTGACATTTGATTCATATGTAATTTCAGAAAGAACAAAGAAACTTAAAAGAAGAAGAAACTTAAAAAGTCTCCATATTATGAAAACACAAGAATCAAGATATTTGCTGAGCACACAATTATACAATTACATTTGTATATCATATATACATACATATATAATCATCGATCATTCATGTGATTCTCAATACATTTCACAATGCGTTTTTTTTCTATTATTAATACGCGCACACACATCGAGCATAAAGTTTTGCGTATTTAACAGGCAATAAATATACACTTTATTATATATAATTCGTCCGCTTTACTTTTATATTCGAAAGTGTCGTTCGAAGAAAAATATTGTAAAAATAAAGTTGGTTTCTCTCGAGATTCTTTTAGTATTTAGTAAGTATAAGATTCTTTTAGTATTTAATAAGTATAAGTATTGTTTTCGATATCCTCGCCAAAACACAGCCGATCGTTTCAAGCCTTTATCCACTGCTCCACGTATTCGAGCGCGCCCGAAAGAATTCTTTTCTCCGTGACTCTTAATTGTATTGCCATCTTTTTCATCTGTGGCAACGTGGTTTCCAACAACTTTAGATCCTCCTGTGAAAAAAAAAAAAAGGAAATATTCGTCAATCAACTGCGAACGATCGAGATGGAAGGCAGAGTAAAGGCAACATCACATTTCGCTTTCACCTTCAGTGTTGTCGGATAATTAGCAATTAAAAGCTGCAGCCTGGTCAGCAAAAATTTTCTGACATTCTCCTCGACGACCGTCTCCAATGCACAGTCCACGTGCTTCAGGTCGAAGACCTTGTCCGAGCGTAACCAATGTGTGAGCTCGGCTTTTCGCATACTGAATACTCGCAAAAAGGCCAACAGCGTGTCGGAGATGGGTTCCGTACCCGGCTTCAGTAAAAATTCTCCTACTGACGGCAAATCCAGTTTGCTCAACAACTCTATTCGCTCCTTTTGAAGGGAATCCGCTTTGCTAATGCCGAGACGAAGTTTGAAGCCATCCTGTAAGTTACAACATATCTTAGTAAAACAGCACAGAGATTTGCATTGCGAAATTCATCGCTTTCACGGTTGCTTGATAAAGACAACGTTGATCTTATCAAAGAAACAAATGGACGTCAATTATCTTTATAATTATTAAGTTTTCTTTTTAATAAATCAGTTTTTTTTTTTTTTAATAAGTACGTACTTGTTCGTTATTCATGCAGACGAAGCCCGAGTGCACGAAGAAATCAGAGTTGGTCCTTGGGCCGTAACTTATGAATATTTGCTCCCCTTTCTTGAAGTCCCTCAACGCGTAGCACTCGCAACGGTCCGACGTCGCATTGAAATCCGTCGTAATCTATGATAATGACAGAAAACAGCATCGCTCGTCCGCTCTGGGCTCATTATCTCCATGACTTACCCTTCCGTTCTCGTGATTGCACATATCCCACATCGGGATTAAAGCGTGTATCATGCGCGAGCCGTCCGGGCTCGGGACCAGGTTCTGCCTCGTCATCACCGTGGAGACCGCCCAGCTGGGGAAAAATTCATTCAATTGTCATTACGTCTCGTATTCCCCCGGTATTCGATATCCCCGGATTTCTTTTATTACGTGAACAATCTAAGCCGCGAATCTATCGCGCTCGATTCCCGAGGTGAAATCCGGCCGACCAAAAGTCACCGTTACGACGCACCGAACGCGTGCGTACCCGCGCGTCGATGCGTGAAGCGCTTTCGCCTTCGGGGAAGATTGAGGAAGAGGGCATTGTTAAACAACGCCGCGGGCAAGCGGCTGCTTTTCGGACAAACTTGACCCAGAATTCCAGGAAATTGACGTACAACAGGATTCATTGCCGCAGCTACCGTCGCACATCCGTCCGCGACGGACGC